TGTAAAATATTTTTATTTATTTTTTAAAACAAAATAGAGCTGCCTTGCTTACTTTCTCCTCATTCTTTTGTCTCTCACATTTAAAATAGTATACTAGAAAGAAAACACAGCATTTATAAGGTAGTGAGTTAACATAAAATGAGCAGCTATTTTACCTTAGGGTGATGGGCCCTGTGTCTGCGGTCTATTGTCACATCTCCTCTCTGAATTGGTGAAGACACTTCCGATCTGTAAGTTCGTTGAGGGGAGTATCCCTGATAAGCAGCTATTGACCCGTGGGATGGTGATGTGGGAATAGAGTGCATTGTCTGGTCAGAAATATTTACCATGGTTTTGGGACTACTCAAAGTACTGTGTCGAGGGAGGGTGCTCTGTTTATTATAAAACTGACGCTGCTGCCATTCGTAGAGCTGCCACATTGTGTCATCTCTCATGGACCTCCGTTTCTCCTCCGCTCCGGGTCCTAACGTCTTGTCATGAGTGGAAGGGGCTACACTGCAGATACTTTCAGGCCTTGTCTTGCTGTTTCTTGGGAGTGTTCTATAACCTTCAGGGTAGCGGGCCATAATCTGGGCTCTGTGGCTTGGCATATTTCTTGGTAATGTTTGGTAAGAAATTACTCTAAAATAAAAAAATAATTAAAATGTAAACATGAAGAAGAGTTATTTTCCAAATTCTAAATTAGAGTACATTTCTTTTGTTTCAGTAAGTAAAACATATACTAGAATTTTTTTTTTTTGGAGATGGAGTCTCGCTCTGTCACCCAGTCTGGAGTGCAATGGTGCGATCTTGGCTCACTGCAACCTCCGCCTCCCAGGCTCAAGCAATTCTCCCGCCTCAGCCTCCCAAGTAACTGGGATTCCAGGCGTCTACCACCATGCCCGGCTGATCTTGAATTCCTGACTTCAGGTAATTCACCTGCCTCGGCCTCCCAAAGTGCTGGGATTACAGGCATGAGCCATCGTGCCCGGCTTAGAATGTATTTTTTTTAAAGATTGAAATATTATACAAGATATACACTATTAATAGATTTTAATCTTTTTATGAAATTCAATTTAACAAATTTAACACAGGATAAACAGCATCTATATCAATTACACAAAATATTATTAGTTCCACACAATGTACAGTTTGATTTAAAGATGAAAGACTATTATACTTCGTTTGAGAAATAAGAATGTTTAAAATCTAATCTCAATTCTGTCTCTGTATTTTATTTGTTCTTATATAAATAAAGTCTCATTTTCATACATCTCATCAGAGCACTATAGGATTTCTATGTATGGATGAAATATGAAGTGAGTTACAACCATAGAGCATAAAGACAGGAAAGAAATTACTGCAAGTATATGTTGACTATTCTGTTGGATGTTTTCTTTCAGGAAGTATGGTTATTTATGGGAGTAAATACATCAGTACATTTGGTTTGAAGGAATAACTTCCTTTCATAGCTTTTCCTAACTTGATATATAAAAATGACTTGGAGTTGATGCTCAGAATTCTATTAAAGATAAAATACTTAAATATCACAATATTTTAGATATAAAACTGCAATCTCAGAAATTTTCTAATGTTTCCAGCACAGTAATTAATATTTCACTTCATAGATGGTGGAATATTTCTCAGGAGGCTTTTTAAAGCAATCTAAAAATGCTTCATGTACATTATGCATGCAAAGTATAGTTCTTTTAAAATGCTAATTTTGGGAATTGGATATGTAATTGCATATTACTAAGCACAGAATATTACCATTTCCAAAAATCAAAGAATACAATTTCAGTTTACTACTTTTAAAAAAACCACTTTGATAAACACACCATTTTGAATTTATAAAACTATCACAGTGCCAACTTCATACTAGGTGAAATTCATGATATAAAAAAGATTTTTAAAAGTTAGTTAGGGGAGGAGTGAGCCAGAAAAAAAGAGTCAATTAAAAACTCTATGTAAAGTTAACATTTGTGTTTCTCTATTATCTTTTTTTTTTGTAGATAGTGTTTTGCTCTGTTGCCCAGGCTGAAGTGCACTGGCACAATCTCAGCTCACTGCAACCTCTGCCTCCCAGGTTCAAGTGGTTCTCCTGCCTCCGCCCCCAGAGTAGCTGGGACTACAGGCACCAGCCACCAAGCCCAGCTAATTGTTTGTACTTTCATAGGTTTTGCCATGTTGCCTAGGGTCATCTCGAACTCCTGAGCTCAGGCAATCTGCCCGCCTCAGCCTCCCAAAGTACCAGGATTATAGGAGTGGGCGCCCAGCCTCCTATTTCCTTTAGATACAGAGGTGTAGGTATAATTCAAATTCTAAATACAAACATACTTTTTTTTTTTGAGATGGGTTCTCACTCTGTCACCCAGGGTGGAGTGCAGTGGAGTACACTGCAGCCTCGTCCTCCTGGGCTCAAGTGATCTTCCTGTCTCAGCCTCCTAAATAGCTAGGAATACAGGTATATGCCATCATGCCTGGCTAATTTTTTTTTTTCCCCAGACACAACCTTTTAACCACCACCACCACCACAAGAAACATCTAGATTAGAAAAAGCAAGATTAGGCTGGGTGCGGTGGCTCACACCTGTAATCCCAGTATTTTGGGAGGCTGAGGAGGCAGATTGCTTGAGGCCAGGAGTTCGAGACCAGCCTGGCCAACATGGTGAAACCCTGTCTCCACTAAAAATACAAAAATCAGCCAAGCATGGTGATGTATGCCTTAGTTCCAGCTACTCGGGAGGCTGAGGCAGGAGAATCACTTAAACCTGGGAGGTGGAGGTTGCAGTGAGCTGAGATCGTGTCACTGCACTCCAGCCTGGGTGATAAGACAGAGACT